CATTTGGTTCTTTGAAGTGCTTGAAGGGAGACTTTGAGTGGTAAAAGGCTGAGTGGTGAGTTTAATAGAGGGGAAAAAGCCATAGTGAGTGTTTTCCGAGTGAAATCTTTGTGAGGCATAAAAAAAAATTGTGTGATATGATGTCGGAAAGAGAAGGTTCTAATTCAAGCCGAAACGGTAATGACAACAATGAATCGGAGGACATGATAAGGAGGTTTGAAAGGGTACTTGATGATGTTAGGGAGAAGGTAGATATGCAAGGGGAATGGATGGCGCAAATAGGTACTACAATAGCTAATCTTAGCCAGGGACAAGTTGAGATGTCTAATGCTAGGGGGCCGGGTAAGCGTGAATCTAGGAGAGGAGGGCGAGATGAGTATCGTAGTGATGAGGATGATTTTGATATGGGTCGAGCGAGGCATAGGGGCGATAGGATGGAAAGACGGGGTAGAAATAACTTGGGAGATGAAGTAGATGGAAGTTTGGGGAGTATTAGAATGACTATTCCGCAATTTAAGGGGAGAAGCGATCCGGAAGCATATTTAGAGTGGGAAAGGAAGGTTGAGATGATTTTTGCGTGCTATAATTATTCGGAAGAGAAAAAGGTAAAATTAGCGGTGTTTGAATTTGTGGATTATACAATATCTTGGTGGGATCAAGTACTTACATCACGGCGTAGGGGTTAGGAAAGACCAATTAGCACTTGGGATGAATTGAAGGTGTTGATGAGGAGGAGGTTTGTTCCGAGTCACTATTATAGGGAAATCCATCAAAAATTGCAAGGTACCAAGGATCGAAAGGCATAGAGGATTATCACAAGGAGATGGAAATTCTTAAGATTCAGGCTAATGTGGAGGAAGATCAGGAAGCTACCATGGCACGGTTCTTGAATGGGTTAAATCGGGATATTGCAAATGTTGTAGAGTTGCAACACTATGTGAAAATCTAGGACATGTTACATGTGGCAATGAAGGTCGAGAGGCAATTGAAGAAGAAGGGGACGTCTAGGTAGTCGTTAGGTACTTTGACTCCTAATCCAACATGGAAATCGAAGTGGGATGACAACAACAAAAATGGGGCTTCACCTAAAGGTAAAAATGATTGGCAAAAGGGCAAGGATGAAAACGCTAGCAAACCAATATCAAAATCGGAGGCACAACCGTCGCGCAATCAGGACATCAAATGTTTTAGGTGTTTGGGAATGGGACATATTGCTTCTCAATGCCCAAACAAATAGGCGATGGTGTTGCGGGATAATGGAGAGATTGTGAGCGATAGTGATGGTGAGTTTGATGACATGCCGGCGTTGGAGGATGTTAGTGAATAAGAAAAAGTTGAAGGGCCGATTGGGGATCTCCTAGTCACAAGGCGAGCTCTCACTACTCACGTCAAAGCGGATGACTTGGAATTGCAACGGGAGAACATTTTCCACACTGGATGCCACATCAACAATACGGTATGTAGTGTTATAATTAATGGTGGTAGTTGCACTAATGTAGCTAGCGTATCTCTTGTAGAAAAATTGGTAACATTGTTGAGACAACCGAGACCTTATAAATTGCAATGGTTGAATGAGAGTGGCGAGGTGAGGGTAAATCGAAGGGTGCTAATTAATTTGTCAATTGTGAGTTATAAAGACGAGTTAGTGTGTGATGTGGTGCCAATGCAAGCGGGACATATTTTATTGGGGCGACCATGGCAATACGATAGGAAGGCTATGCATGATGGGTACAAAAATCGATATAGTTTCATTAAGGATGGAAGGACCATTACTCTTGTGCCATTAACAACAGTGCAAGTCTATGAGGACCAATTAAAATTGAGAAGTGAGGAAGAGAGGAGAGCAAATAGTGAGTTGGAGAAAAAGAGAGAAAATATTGAGATAGTCATTAGAGATAAAAAGATAGAGCAATCACAAGAGAGAAAAGAAAGAGAGTTCCTCGAGAGAAGAGAGAAAACACAAATGAATTTCTTTGCAAAAGAGAGTGATTTTAGGAGGGCGATAGTTGAGAGAAAAGAGATGATCTTGTTCATTTATAAGGAATCACTCCTCAATTTTGAGGAAACTAACCCACCCCTCCCTAGTTTGGCTAAGTCTTTATTACAGGAATTCGAGAATGTATTTCCAGAGGATGCACCAAGTGGATTGCCGCCCATTCGAGGCATTGAACATCAAATTGACTTCATACCCGGAGCTATCATTCCAAATCGACTGGCTTATCGAAGTAATCCTGAGGAGACTAAGGAGCTTCAAAGGTAAGTAGAGGAGTTAATGAGCAAAGGATACGTGAGGGAAAGCATGAGTCCTTGTGCGGTATCGATTTTTCTTGTGCCAAAAAAGGATGGAACATGGCGAATATGCGTGGACTGTAGGGCTATCAACAACATAACGGTAAAGTATCATCACTCTATACTTAGGTTAGATGACATGCTTGATGAATTACATGGTGCTTGCATATTTTCTAAAATTGATTTAAAAAGCGGGTATCGTCAAATTCGTGAACAGGAGGGTGATGAATGGAAAACGGCTTTTAAAACTAAATATGGTTTATATGAATGGTTGGTTATGCCGTTTGGACTCACAAATATACCTAGCACTTTTATGCATTTAATGAATCATGTTTTACGTGCTTTTATAGGAAATTTTGTTGTGGTTAATTTTGATGACATCTTAATCTATAGAACAGACCTATGAGAGCATTTGGAACATTTAAAGTGTGTGTTAATTGTTTTAAGGAAAGAATAACTATATGCTAATCTTAAGAAATGCACGTTTGGTATGGATAGTGTTATTTTTCTTGGTTTTGTGGTTATACTAATGGGGTAGAAGTAGACGATGAAAAGATAAAAGCTATTAGAGATTGGCCGACACCTAAAAGCATAACGGAAGTTAGGAGTTTTCATGATTTGGCTAGTTTTTATAGGCATTTTGTGAAAGATTTTAGCACTATCACCGCACCACTCATGGACGTAGATAAAAAGAGTGTAGGTTTTTTTTGGGGTGATGAACATGAACTTGCATTTAATACTATTAAAGGTAGATTGTGTGAAGCACCTGTTTTGGCATTACCTAACTTTGATAAAACATTCGAGATTGAGTGTGATGCATCAGGAATAGGGATTGGAGCAGTTTTAATGAAGGATCGGAGGCCTATTGCATACTTTAGTAAGAAATTGAGTGGAGATGCTTTAAATTATCCTACATATGACAAAGAATTTTATGCACTTGTTCGAGCTTTGGAGACTTGGCAACATTCTATGGCCGAAGGAGTTCGTAATACACACCGATCATGAGTCACTAAAGCACTTGTGGTGACAAGGTAAATTGAACAAGAGGCATGCACGGTGGACGGAATTTATTGAGACATTTTCATACGTCATTCGGTATAAATAAGGTAAGGAAAATGTGGTGGCGGATGCGTTGTCACGAAGGTACGTATTGCTAACTACTCTTGATTCTAAGCTACTTGGGTTTGAACATATTAAGAAATTGTATGAAAAAGATATTGAATTTTTGGATATTTATTTGTCATGCATAAAAGGGACGGTTGATAGGTTCTTTAGGCATGAGGAGTATTTATTTCGGGAAAATAGGTTATGTGTTCCTAATTGTTCTATTCGGGAGTTGTTAGTAAGGGAGGCACATAGTGGTGGATTGATGGGACAATTTGGGATTCAAAAGAATTTAGATATATTGAAGGAGCATTTTTACTGGCCTAAGATGGAAAGTGATGTCGAGCAAATTTGTAGTCGATGCATAGGTTGTAAAAGGGCTAAGTCTAAAGTTTTACCTCAAGGTTTGTACACACCTTTACCTACACCTAGTGAGCCTTGGGTTGATATCTCGATGGACTTTGTTTTGGGTTTACCTAGGACTAAGAGAGGTCAGGATTCTATTTTTGTGGTTGTAGATAGGTTCAGCAAAATGACACATTTTATACCATGTCACAAAACTGACGATGCCACGAACATTGCTGACTTATTCTTTAAAGAGATTGTGCGTTTACATGGGGTTCCTAGAAGCATAGTGTCGGATCGGGATGTCATATTTTTGAGTCACTTTTGAAGAGTTTTGTAGGGTAAGTTAGGCACTAAGTCACTATTTTTCACAACTTGTCACCCACAAACGGATGGGCAAACCGAGGTAGTGAATAGGACTATGACACAATTGTTACGCACGGTAATCAATAAAAATTTGAAGAGTTGGGAGGAGTGCCTACCATTTGTTGAATTTGCATACAATCGAGCTGTTCACTCTACTACGTCATATTCTCCATTTGAAATTGTATATGGTTTTAATCCACTAGCTCCTTTGGATTTAATTCCTTTACCTGTGAATGAACGTGGTAGTTTAGATGGCAAAAAGAAGGTGGAATTGTTTAAGTCACTCCATGATAAGGTAAAAGCGAAAATTGAAAACAAAAGTAAGTTGGTTGCATCGCAGGCAAACAAAGATAGGAAGCGCGTGACATTCGAGCCAGGAGATTGGGTTTGGGTGCACTTTAGGAAGGAACGATTTCTAAAGCAAAGGAAGTACAAGTTGCAACCGAGGGGCGATGGTCCATTTCAAGTGATTGAAAAGATAAACGACAATGCTTACAAGTTGGACCTTCCAAGTGAGTACAATGTTTCGACTACTTTAATGTATCTGATCTCTCTGTGTTTGATGCGGGTTCAGATTTGAGGACGAATCCTTTTGAAGAGGAAGGGGATGATATGACCCGGGAGTCAAGCCCGACGAAGGTAAGTGCGAGACGAGACCCGTTGATAGTTGATGGCGGACCAATGACGCGATCAAGGGCAAAGCAAGTGAAATAAGCGATGAGATTGCTCGTTCAAGAAACCATTGATGGAACCATGCTCGGGACTAGCCGAATCAACTTGGATCAATTTAATATCGAAGGCCGAAGACGAAGGAAAATGATAAGCCTATGCGACCGCTTTGTCCTTGAAAACAACAAGGATTCTTCTTGAGGTAGAATATTGACATCGAATTTCCTTTAAGCTTCCATGTTACTACACACATCTTCAAAGCATGATGTTAATAGAATTTTCAACCTGCTATCATCACTTGCTGAAAGAATTCCTATAGTTTCCAACTCAATATCTTCCCAAACATCATCCAATATTATGAGAATGTTTTTACCTCTTCCACCTCCAAGTCTTTCACGAAGTCGCCCAGCTCTCACAATTTTATTAGTCTTCTCTTCAGTTTTCAAACCGAGCATATCAACAAGTTGATCCTGAATTTTAGTTACACCTAGATCTTGAGATGCAATTGCGATTGCAACCTCATCAAACAATTTTTCAACTTTGACTTCATTAGCTATTTCATTTGCCATTGTTGTCTTACCTACTCTGGGTATATCACAGATACAATTATGCTGACATCTTTGTCCTTTAAAGCTTCCATGATTTTCCTTTTAGTGGATATCCTGGTTTCGAAAGCCTCAAAGTCACTAGGGTTTTGATAAACGTTTGCACCAATGGTTTAGGTTCTCCGATCTTTTGAAATGTACCTTCCACTTGGAGCTTATCAACCTCAACAGTTTTCTTTGTGGCTTTCCGGCCATGAGCGTAATAGGTCTTCAAGTTTGGACATCTAAGGAATAGGCATTGCATTTTAGAATTTGTTGTAACTTCCAAAACTTTGTATGCCTGTTTCTTTAAGTCATTAACCTTTCGCACCCTATCTTTAACACTTGGTTTAATAGCTTCCGCGTTTCTTTCTACTTCAACAATCAATTGTTACGAGTCAGATTCCTCAATTTCAAGATCCTTCACTTTATACATCAAAGTTTGAATTTTTGTTTTGGAGCAAAACATATACTTGAATTGGGACAAAATTGGATCGATTGTGTATTCTGCAAGCTTCCCAACAACAGAAAAGACTATGTCTACAGCCATTACCAATTTTTCAGCTCAAACGGAAGATATTACAGTAGTATCAATGAACCTATCAACATTAAAAAAAATTACATTAAAGAGTCTTAGAATTATATTTCACCACAATTTTTAGTAAACATTCACAAATCAATATCAAAAGGAAAAGTATTATTCCTCATTAAATGATCAATAGTGTGTGCAAAATTATCAGGGCTTGAATCCGAAGCTTTATAACAAATATATATGGTCTGAAGTTTCATTTTATACTTAAGATCAGATAAAAAAAAAAATTATATGCATGAGTTCAAGTAATTTAAATACTAATTTAAATGAGTCATTGAATAAATGTCTAATAGAGTTGTCGTCTAGATATGAGTGGCTTTAAAAAAGGAATGAGACTGCGAGTTTGTGATGAAGATATTTTGATTTTCGAAGAGTTTGATGGCACGCTGATGGCATGTGTATGTGTGTAAATATTAATGGAGGATATTTTGAAGAATTTTTGTTCCATTTTGAATATAGCTATCGAAATTTGAAACGATAAAGATGTTTTAACTAACAAAGTAAGTTCACAGAATATGTAAATTTTTAAATGAATATCTTTTTGTTGCTTAAGTAATTTTTTTTTTTTTAAATAGAAATGTACCAGTTTATATATGTTCAATAATAAAACTTGTCAAAAGTAATTTTGTAAAATCAATCTTCTCTCTGCATCTCAATTACCTTCTGTTTTTCAATTCTCTTCCCTTAAATTTTGCAGTAAATCGATCTTCGAGTTTAATAAGCTGATTGCGTGCTTAAGTTGTTATAAAGTATATATACATATATTAGAATGTATATGGTTAATTTGTACAGCATTATTGGCAAATATTACGCTAGGAGATATCTCTTTAGACACCGAGTTTAATATCCAAGAGATTACAATATTGTTGTTTCGAGTCCATGAACTGAACAGATCTGGATCATTACCTTCAGGCTTGTTTATGGTTCCATCAACAAAACGAAGTTTATTCTTCACAGACAAAGCTATCAGCATCGCTCGACTCCAGGAGGCATAGTTATCTCCTGTGAGTTGTTGAGAGACGAGAATCAATCCTGGACTGTCAAAATGGTGCAGGAAGTAAGGGCTGGAAGGGTCATCAATGGCAAACACCTTTGATTCTAAGTTAAATAATTTCCACAAGAGATATTGCTTTGGCAACAAGTCGCTTCAATTAATTTACTTTCGATTATTATACCTTTCAAAAGAGTCCTTAGTACTAAAATTTGAGAAAAAAAATCACCAATTTTGCATATTTTATTTATTTGAAACTTTAGGGGCCTAAGGGTTAATAATCCAAAACATTAGGGGGAAATTAACCAATTCAAAACTTTAGGGGCCAATTTGAACAAATTAGAAAATTTGAGGGCTTTAATTACAACATTCAAAACTTTAATGACTCAGATTGATCAATATTTTAAGCTTCAGGGACTGAATTATTAAACCTAGAACTTTAAAGGCACAATTTGGATGAACTTTAAACTTTAGGGGCTGAAACTTTAAATTTGTAACCTTAACCCTAATGTGAAATTACAAGTAAGGGCCTCAAATTAATCAATTTTCATGTAAGGGCCCTATTCCGAATTCAAGCAAATCTGAAACTAAAAAAAAAAAATTCTTCCTTCTTCTTTACTGATGTGGTAGGGGTCGTCGTCGACCACAGTAGTGTAGCAGTGAAAACTTTGCAGCGGTGAGCGCAGTAACCTCACGAACCCTGCCCAACGCCGACGGCAGCGGACGTCACTACAAATCCCAATTTTTTTAACTTAAAATCCATAATCTGGAATTCCTCAAACTTTTAATCAGAATTATGGAAGAAAATAAGGAAAAAAATGCCGCAAAAGTTTTCAAATTCAACAAAATATAGATTTGAAATTGTTAAATTTGAAAACATTGAAAATATCACTAGAACCAAATAAATATTTGATTATCAATTATTCAACATGAAAGTGGCTCTGATACGACTTGTAGGAAAATTGTTACCATCAAAAGAGCTAGATCTATCATGTTGGATCATCAAGAACACATGAACTAAAGTGGAAGCGTTCCTGAATTAGATATTATTAATGCAATAATTAAATCTTGCGGTTTAATCTTCCAAATCAACATGTTGCCCTTTTTTTCTCTGGTGATGGGAGCCAGAATAGAATGAGCAATACATGTGATTTGGGAACCATAATTGTGTTTATATAGTGACTGTCTGTTAACCTAATTCGACCTATCATGGAATTAGGAACATTGGCCTAGTCTCTACACATAAAAGCCCACACTTTAACTAGATGCATTAAAGCCCAAAATATTGAAACTTTATATGATTACTTTAAATGGGTTTAACCAAATTTGATAGTCTTTAATTTAATACACAATAATTCACATAAAAGCCAACATGATCGATTAAAAAATCCTTAACATCTCCTCCTAAACTCTCGGATCTCATGCTCGAATAAAAGTAGGAAGACAAAAAGTTATTTGGGAGGAAGCCAGTAAATTTTTGCATACCTTCTTTATTCACAACTATACCTATTTGTAGATTTCTAATGGGGCGTCAAGGATAAGCAAGTCTTTTGTGTTTGCCACATGCTAATCTCTAATTAGCAACTGGACCTATTAGTTCTTCATATTTATTAACCAATCCATGTTCTTTTTACGTGCTCTTAGTTTGTCCATGCTTTGAGATACAAAAGTCATCCAATGCAAGATCATCGGCCACGTGGAAGCTATATAAGTTTTTTGGCACCAACAGATAGCGCAGCACCAAAGGGCACACTGATATCTCAACCTCCAAAGCATAAGCCTAGAAAGCATTATGTTAATTATGAGTCTGCTAGTAAATTATACAAAAACCCTAACAAAACAGTGATAAACTAATCCTACTAACATAATGACATAAACCATTTAAACTTTTTACTTCAAATAATAGAAAGAATTCTTATTACTTGTTAAATGAGTAAATGAGAAATTTTCTAGAAGTTCCTCAGTAGATAAAGAAAGAGGTCATCAGGAAAAAGAGTAGTCATTATTAATTTGGCAACTATTCATATATTAGTGAATAGATTTTCATTCATTCTATAACAAAAATTCTACTTCAATTGCTCATGGCAGAAAACCTAAGGAACAGAGGATATTAATTTTCCAATTATTCATGCATTAATGAATCATGTACAAGCAATTATAGCACATATATTCAACTAGATGTTGGAAGTGTATACCTGCATCCTCAACAATATTGGAAGTATAAACAAATTTATTGTCCTCTCTTATCTGTATTGAGCCTGAGTAATAGAGAATGTTAATTTATCGATTATTGATACATTAATTTATATTGTGCATCATAGTGTATATAACAAGGAAGTTGTTGTAAATTGGGAATCAAGAAAACATATATACCTTCGGAATCCAAGAAATTTGAAATGTCGATATATCTTTCTCCTTCTATCTGTACTTTATGAAGCTTTGGTGCACTTAGTTGTTGTCCTGAACTCAATTTTGTCATCGCGGGACAATTTATAATTAGCAAATGCTCTAATGAAGGGAACACAAGTTCATTGTTCTGAGAGAAAATCATTCTGAATCTATCAAGATGATAAAATCTTAGATCGCTCAATTTAGGAAACACAATTATGCTTGTCATTCCTTCTTCTGCAATTTCAATGTTTGAAGTGTCTTCTTCTTGTCTTCCAATAATCTCTTCAATTACTTCATATCTCCAAACCCAAAGAAAATTTATAGCCACAAGTTTATTGGCAATTGAAGGTGAGAATAAGTACCTTAAGTTGTCACATTTTGCAACTTGAAGTTCTATCAAATTCTTAAAGATACAAATTTCTTTACGAAACATCCTTGTTAAATGCACTAATTTTTGGTAGACTTTTCATGTCCAATGATGTTAGTTGATTAAGTGCTAAAAGCTCCAAGTTAGGCAATATAACCTGGAAAAAATTTACTTAATCATGTAAGCTAAAATTATGTAAACATAAAACTTTATAAATTTAAATATCATCTTTTACTCTGTAGAATTAATTAAGATTTGATAATTTAAAATGCCAAATTACACCTCCGTATATCTCTTTCTTCAAATGACTTTAGAATTACAACATCTTGTAAAAGTAAATTCAAACCAAACTATTGTGTAGCACTCTTTTGGAAGGGCAAAATATATATCCCATTAAAAAAATGTAAAGGTCAGCCCAAGTCTGATAACGTGTTTGAAAGGTGGATGCTAAGAGCCCATCTTGATTTTTTAAAAATATTCTAAAGAAAATAAAATATTCCAAAGGCCATAATGGGTTCTATGTTTCAATAGTTTGTTTTACATTAACAATTTATTACACGTAACAGACCAAGCACCCGTGTGGTGATAAATAAAATTATTTTTTTGGGAAATTGGTACAAATGGTCCCAAGCCGTTGCCTTTTATGTGTTTTTTGTTCCAAAAACTTCTTTTTGGCACTGAGATTAGGACAGAAACAAATGAAATGCAAAAGTTTGGGACCATTTGCATCAATTACATTACCTTAAATATTTAGGAAATTTTAAAGGTTATAAAATTTTTGTTATGAATTAATAGAAATGGAGAATGATGGCCCATGTGCACACAGCCCCACGTGCACACGAAAAAAGAAAAATGTATACCCGTTTGAACATTGGTTAGGGCATCTTGTTTGATTCCGACCTAAAACTCTCAAAATTTCTTAAATTATGAAGGATAATTTCTTGTAGTTTTGGGAACTCGAGCATCTGGGTAACTTCATTTTGTTCTGTATTCATTGAAACAATTTCCTCTAACATCTCACAGTCATAAATACTTAAACTTTGAAGATTCACCATGTATAATGCAACTGACTCCACAAATAGGCTTTTAACTGAGGGGCACTTTGCAATAACAAGAATCATAAGATTGTGTAGTGATGGATGTTTGATGACACCCCTCCACAAATGTTTCATTCTTGGTATGCTAAGTATATATATCTCTTGCAATCTACCAAAGGCCCCTCTTTGAAAATTTCCATTCAAATACTTGAAGCCATCTTCATCTACCATATTCTTCCTCTCCATCACTTGTAGGGAATGATCATCAAGATTATTCATGTCCATTTCTATAGAAAGATGGTTAGTTATCCTTATTAATGAGCTAATTGCAGGTAGTGAAAGCATACTCGGGTCAATTATACCGCTCATATCCAATCTCCTTTTGAAATAATAATTTTTACAGATGGTCTTACTGGCATGCTCTAAGTCAGCTAATATGATATGAAATCTTTCTAGCTTCTCAACGCACAGGACATGCAATATTTGCAACAAAAAAACAGGATCATGTGTTGATATTTGGAAAGTATTAAGACTAGTCAATAAACTTATCTCCTTAATAATGTACCCTCATTGTTCCAGTTCATCATCTCTAATTTCAATGAAACCCAAGTACAGTTCTTCCAGTTTCTTCAATTGCAATAAGATACCAAGCGAAAGTAGACAATATCTAGAGTTGTGCTTCAACCTCAAATCCAATGACCTTAGGTTGCTAAGTTCTGATATATCATTAGCGAAGTGATCAAGAGTAGAGCCATACAAACTGAGAATTTCCAACTTTTTTAGTTTCCCAATAGTTGAAATTTCTATGTTTAGTGTACAATGGTCCAAGTACAAAGTTCGAAGTTTGGTCAACAATTGGATTGATGACAAAATTTGAATCCTCATAGCAGCGAAGTCGACAACACTGAGTTCCGTCATATCAAAACAAAATCTTTGGATATGTTCACTAACTATTGGTTGTACTTCACTTTAAGAAACTTTGGGTTTAGATATTCTAACCTATTGGGAAGCTGATTCATCTCAACAGACGTCAGGCTAATTGCACTGTATGATTCATCATTGTCATGTTTTGGCCACTCCATCCAACGAGTGTGTTTCGACATATGTACATGCTTGTCTTTAGATGCAATTTGTAAGCAAACATCTCTTATAACATCATGCAATTTTTCCCAATCCTTATTTTCATCAGGGAGCAGTAAGTAGAAATTTTTCAGAACATCGACAATCGAGTTTTCCTTATCAATGGTTGCAATCAACATTTTTGTATCTCTAAACAACTCTAGTCCCCATGCATATCTAACCAAATCTTCAAAATACACGCTAGAATCTTCTGGATACAGAGAGCATAGCAGAAGCAAGGACTTTGCTTCATCACTCTCTATATAGCTGTATCTAAACTCTATCCTTGAGTATACCAACTTGTGCGCTCCTTGGATATTGGTCATTCTAGAATTCCATAGTTCTTCAAGTGCATTCTTCCATGCATGTGCTCCTTTTTCTTCTGAGGGCTTTGCCGACTGTCACAAGTGCGAGAAATAGACCTCCACATTCCTTTGCAATTTTTTCTGCTGTACCCTTTATAACATCTGTTACATCATCAGAAATCTCTGCTTTGTCCTTGAAAACGACCAGGATTCTTCTTGAGGTAGAATATTGACATCGAATTTCCTTTAAGCTTCCATGTTACTACACACATCTTCAAAGCATGATGTTAATAGAATTTTCAACCTGCTATCATCACTTGCTGAAAGAATTCCTATAGTTTCCAACTCAATATCTTCCCAAACATCATCCAATATTATGAGAATGTTTTTACCTCTTCCACCTCCAAGTCTTTCACGAAGTCGCCCAGCTCTCACAATTTTATTAGTCTTCTCTTCAGTTTTCAAACCGAGCATATCAACAAGTTGATCCTGAATTTTAGTTACACCTAGATCTTGAGATGCAATTGCGATTGCAACCTCATCAAACAATTTTTCAACTTTGACTTCATTAGCTATTACATTTGTCATTGTAGGTCTTCAAGTTTGGACATCTAAGGAATAGGCATTGCATTTCAGAATTTGTTGTACCTTCCAAAACTTCGTATGCCTGTTTCTTTAAGTCATTAACCTTTCGCACCCAATCTTTAACACCTGGTTTAATAGCTTCCGCATTTCTTTCTACTTCAACAACCAATTGATACAAGTCAGATTCCCTAATTTCAAGATCTTTCACTTTATACATCAAAGTTTGAATTTTTGTTTTGGAGCAAAACATATACTTGAATTGGGACAAAATTGGATCGATTGTGTATTCTGCAAGCTTCCCAACAACAGAAAAGACTATGTCTACAGCCATTACCAATTTTTCAGCTCAAACGGAAGATATTACAGTAGTATCAATGAAACTATCAACATTAAAAAAAATTACATTAAAGAGTCTTAGAATTATATTTCACCACAATTTTTAGTAAACATTCACAAATCAATATCAAAAGGAAAAGTATTATTCCTCATTAAATGATCAGTAGTGTGTGCAAAATTATCAGGGCTTGAATCCGAAGCTTTATAACAAATATATATGGTCTGAAGTTTCATTTGATACTTAAGATCAGATTAAAAAAAATTATATACATGAGTTCAAGTAATTTAAATACTAATTTAAATGAGTCATTGAATAAATGTCTAATAGAGTTGTCGTCTAGATATGAGTGGCTTTAAAAAAGGAATGAGACTGCGAGTTTGTGATGAAGATATTTTGATTTTCGAAGAGTTTGATGGCACGCTGATGTAGAAAAATAATCGAAGAGTTTGATAGTAACATAATTAGCATTTATAAATATCAAGAGAGCATGTGTATGTGTGTAAATATTAATGGAGGATATTTTGAAGAATTTTTGTTCCATTTTGAATATAGCTATCGAAATTTGAAACGATAAAGATGTTTTAACTAACAAAGTAAGTTCACAGAATATGTAATTTTTAAAATGAATATCTTTTTGTTGCTTAAGTAATTTTTTTTTTTTTAAATAGAAATGTACCAGTTTATATATGTTCAATAATAAAACTTGTCAAAAGTAATTTTGTAAAATCAATCTTCTCTCTGCATCTCAATTACCTTCTGTTTTTCAATTCTCTTCCCTTAAATTTTGCAGTAAATCGATCTTCGAGTTTAATAAGCTGATTGCGTGCTTAAGCTGTTATAAAGTATATATACATATATTAGAATGTATATAGTTAATTTGTACAGCATTATTGGCAAATATTACGCTAGCAGATATCTCTTTAGACACCGAGTTTAAGATCCAAGTGATTACAATATTGTTGTTTCGAGTCCATGAATTGAACAGGTCTAGATCATTACCTTCAGGCTTGTTTATGGTTCCATCAACAAAACGAAGTTTATTCTTCACAGACAAAGCTATCAGCATCGCTCGACTCCAGGAGGCATAGTTATCTCCTGTGAGTTGTTGAGAGAGAAGAATCAATCCTGGACTGTCAAAATGGTGAAGGAAGTAAGGGCTGGAAGGGTCTCAATGGCAGATCTGCTTGAAGATGACCTTGCATCAAGAACATTTACTGACTGTGTTGATTCCATTCGAAGTTCAGAATTAGGATCGAGATACAGAATAGTTGATATCAATGAATTTTGATCTAATTGAAGGAAAAGGAAGAAGATGGACGCAGAAAGTGATTTAGCTTTGATACCATATTGAGTTAGAGAAAATTGGAGGAAAAATTGTTATTCCATTGATGTATTACAGTGGGTGTCTTTATAAATAGCAATGAAAAAAGAATCTCCAGCCGTCATCTAACAAACTAATGTTGTACAAATTAACTATATACATTCTAATAACATATTGCGTCAGTTTGAGAGTTTACTCAGGGCGCACTCAAAGGGTAGTGGCTGCGAATTCCTCCGTCATTAAACAAAAAAAAAAGTGTATACATATTGTGTGTATTCAAGAAATGCTTGTGGTTAAAAATAAAAATAAAAATAAAAAAACTGCAGTAGTTTCTACAATGATTATCTAATGCGGATTTGTTGAAAAAATTAACATAGTACAACCTGTTAGAAATTAAACTTTATAAATCTTGATTTAGAAAACCCAAAAATTTTATTGCCAAACTTTAATTCACACAATTTTCATGATTTTACCATTTTCCAATATTTTGTCCAAA